GGGAAATACAAGTGAAAATTACATTCAGATTCTATCTCAGCTCAGTCAGAATGGCTAACACCAAGATTACACCAAGAAAATGAAAGACCTCTATTATGCAAATGACGGAATGGTGAAGAAATTGAGTAAGATATTAGAAAATGGAGAGACTTTCCTAGTTTATGGATCAGCAGAACTGATAGTGTTAAAATGGTGAGAATGCAGGAGGAAAGGAAACCTCCTATAATGTCAGTAAGAATGTAAACTACTAGTAGAACCGCTATGGAAATCAGTATAAAGATTTCGCAAAAATCTAAAAATAGAAATGCTGTATGACCTAGTTATATCACTCCTTGGTATATTACCAAATGAATTAAGATAGCACATTGCAGTCATAAATGTATACCCATGTTTATAGCAGAGAAATTCACAATGCCCGAGCCATGGTAACAGCCCAGATACCTGTCAACCAGTGAATTGGTAACAAAATGTGGTATGTGTATACAATGGAATATTATTTGGCCCTAAACAAGAAGGACATCATATTTGCAGGAAATGAACTAAATTGGGGGCCATCATGTTACTTGAAAGAAGCCAGCATCAGAAAGTTAAATATTGCATTTTTCTCTCAAATGAGAAATCTATAATGAATAAATCAATGAGATGATAAGAAACTAAAGGTAGACCTTTAGAGATAGGGAGATGGGAATGTGAGGAAGGGAGAGAGAGAGTACAATGAGGATGAAAATAATAAAAATATGTTATATGCACGTACCAATATGCCCAAAGGAATCTTATTATTTTGTCATGCTAATATGCACCAATAAAAAAGTGTGTTTGTACACATTTGTGGTTTTCTAGGTATTCTTCTTGCTATTATTTTCTAGTTTTTTTTCCATTATGAGCAGAAACTATTTGGCTACTTACTATGATTTTTTTCCTTCCTACTATTATTTATAAACAATCTGTTTCTCCTTTCAATTTTGTCAATGTTTTCTTTGTATATTAGGAGCTCTGATACTTATTGCATAAATGTTTATAATTTTTATGTCTTCTTAAGCTGACCTTTTTATCATTATATCATGTTTTTGTTTACAGTTTACTTAACATTAACATAGCTACTTTATCTGTCTTTTGGCTACAGTCTTCATAGAACGTCTTTTCTATCCCTTCAGTTTCAACCTATGGTTTTACACAGTGTAAAGTGAACTTCTGACAGGGAGCACACAGTTGAATCCTACTTATAAAAATCCATATGATAACTATGTCTTCTAAAAATAGACTTTAAGGGAAAATTTAGATTTATAGAAAAATTGACTAGAAGGTACAGAAACTTTCTATATATTTTTTACTAATTTCTTGCCCTAACCCATGCATAGCCTTCCTTATTATCAATAATCTCCACCAAAATGGTACTTTGTTTGTTTTTGGTAGTAGGGATTGGACCCAGGACCTTTGTCCTGAGCTACATCCCTAGGCCTGTCTTTTAAAATGTAATTATAAAACTTTTTCTTTGTTTTGTTTTGTCTTGTTTTTTGAGACAGGGTCTCCCTATGCAGTTCAAGCTGCCCTTAAACTCACTAAGTAGCCCAGGCTGGCTCCTCAGACACATTGCAATCCTGCCACCTCAGCTTCCTGAGTGCTGGAACTATAGGCATGCATCACCATGCCTGGTTTTTAATTTTTTAAAACATTTTTGAGATAGGTTCTAGCTACACCACTAAGTGGTCCAGGTTGCTTGAAGTTGTGATCTTCCTGCCTCAGGTTCCCAGAGTACATTTCTTATAACCAATGACCTTACATTAACCTGTCATTATCACCGAAATTCCATTGTTTTCCATTTGGCTGAATAGACACTTTTCAAAAGAAGAATTTGAAGTGCAGTAATCCAAAGGAATGGAAATTCCATTCCATTTACATTAGGGTTCACTTTTGATATACATTCTATGGGTTTTGACAAATATAAAATGACATGTATTCACCACTATAGTATTACATAACAGAGTTTCACTGTCCTAAAAATCCTCTGTGTTCTCTGTTCATCCTTCTTTCTCTTCTTATACCCAAATTGTGTTTATTTATTTATTTATTTTTTTGGTTTTTCTCCGGTACCCAAATTGTGTTTAAACAACAGAGTAATAATGAAGAAAGTTGAGAGATTAAATGGAATAAAATGCTAAACCTAGGTGAATTGTGAAAAAACACTGCATCAGTTTTTTTGGGGGGGGTCTTTTTGAGACAGGGTTTCGCTGTGCAGTTCAGGCTGGTCTTGAAGTCACAACTGTCCTCCTGTCTCAGCCTCCTAAGTGCTGGGATTACAGATGTGTGCCACCACGCTCGCTGTCTTTATTAGTTTTATAACTTTTCTGTAAATTTGAATTTTTCCAAATAAAATACTTTTTAAATGGCCTATGATTCTGTCTTCTTGAATTTTATCTCCTTTTTTTTTTTGTTTTTTTTGTTTTTTTTGGTACTGGGAATTGAACTCAGGACCTTGTACTTCCCAGGCAAGTGCTTATACCACTGAGTCACATCTCTGGCTTAGCTCTCTTTTGACATCCTCTGACTTCAGTATCATGGTTGCCCGTACTTACATGCTACTCCTACTTAAAAAGTTGTATCAGGGGGCTGGGGATCTAGCTCAGCGGCAAAAGCACCTGCCTGGCAAGCGCAAGGTCGTGAGTTTGGTTCCCGGCACCGGAGGAAAAAAAAACCAAAAAAAACCAAAAAAACCAAAAAGTTGTATCAGATGCTGCCTTAGGCAAGAACAGTAGAATTTTACACTTATACAACTGAGGCTCTAACCTTTGTGTTTACAGAATATGGAAAAGGAGCACAAGGAAAACAAAATAAAATATTTAAACATACAAAGATAAAAATTTTACAAAATGCCAAGAATCACATTTACAACATCATTTCAGATAGCAAGGATGAGTGTAGATTTTGGAGTTGGTAACATCTGGGTTCTAATCTTTGTAATATACGCATTGTATGACTTAGAGCAAGACATTTTACCTTTTCCTTTTTTAATTTCCTTTTCCTAAAGGGGCATGAATCCTTACTGTAGATAAATATCCTATCATACAAAGATTTTTGAAAGGATAAAGAGAGAAAACTAGGTGCCAAGTAGCTTCCCAACTATTTCAGTAATTTGGTACTTTTCTGGCCTAAAAAGTTTTGCAGTTTTCAATAATTTCTGGTTGCAATGGGTGTAAGAAAAAGAACTGGAGAAAGCAAGGGACCTCACTTTCTAAGCCCCTTCTTAGGGCTACTGCTTTATATGTAGCAGCTAAGTAAGACAGAAATTAATAGGAAGCCAGGGAGAGACTGCACCCAAACGAGTCAGGGCAGAAGAGAAGACATGTCAAAGTCGTGATGGAGACAACTGGAAAACAGCCAGGCTAGTAAACCTTCCTAGAGATACACAGCAGCTTGAGATTGTGCTATAATCATCACCATCTGGTCCATTGGATAGGTGGGTGACCAGAACACCCCGACCCAGACCCTTCCCCCAAATGCCTTTGATCTTTCTACGTTAGAAGTTATAGATAGTTGAAGTTAGTGGTGCCCAACATATACCCTTGCTCCATGCCTTGCTTCCCTATTGGATCAGTATTAGCTAGGTTACTATTCTTGTAACCCCATAGGTTGGCCTCAGTTGGCCCAGAGTGGTCTGAGATGTGGTCCTTTTCATGTATAAAAACCTCCAGATAAAGAGCCTTCGTGGCCACCCACTTTTCGGACCTTTCCTGTCTCTCAGGAGCTTTCTCCTAATAAACTCTTCCAACCCTAAACCTCCTTTGTCCTCGTATCCATTCTTTGGCTATCTAGAGATATGAACTCGGGGCATATCTGACATTTATCAGATTCGGAGTAACTTCCCTGTGGCAGTGACACTCCATATGGCTGGTGTAGGTGTAGGTTCTAAAAATCTCTTCATAGGTCTTCTAGCAATAGCTAGCCAAATAAAATTGAACAAATGATCATACACCCATATAATTAAAGATTGTATCTATCGAGAAACACCTACATATTCCAAAAGAAATGATTATTATATATCATGCAAAGTGAATTACATAAGGACTGCCATAGTGTTTTGGTAAAAGGATTTACTATCTACCTCTGCCAAGGTGCTGTCTTACACTATCTCCAGGAGGTGGCACAATAATGTTCACAATTTGGGGGGGGGGGGAATTCTAGGACAAACAGAGGGCAACTTTTCACTCTATTTCCTTTTGTACTTTGTATATTCATTACCAAGTGCATGTGCTACAGTTTTTCTTTTTAAGCAAAAGATTTGTTTTAGAACTTACTTTTGTAGTGTTAGGGACCCAACTAGGACCTTTTGCATGCAAAGCAAGCGCCTTACTACTGAGCTATACCTAGTCCTAAAACTTTTAATTTTGAGATAACTGCAGATTCACAAATTTTTGTTCTTAAATTCACAACTGCTCCTCCTCTGCGCCCGCTCTCCAGTTCTCCAAAGCCTTGGTTGGCGCTTACAACTTGACTGGTTTCTACCACGACATATCTAGTTTAAGGGGATGTGAGAAGTAGAGAAAATTCAAGAGATGCGCGCGCGCCTGTGTGTGTGTGTGTGTGTGTGTGTAAGGTGGAGGTGGATATTTACTTTTCATTATTTTTTGCATTTGCAATCAAGCGCTCGCACTATCACGCCCTCCCCCAAAACCCAAACAAACTAACACCGAGTCCTCCAGTAAATCCAGAGCTTCTGCTCTAAGGCAGCCGGAAGCGGGGCGGGCGAGAAACAACTCCAGATAAAGTATTTACTGATAGGCGAACTGGAACCAAAGCGTTCGTTCCCTCCCTCAATTAAATAGAGCTACAACTATATCCACCAAGGAGTAGGTAAAAGAGAAATAAGGACCCTAAAAATGTCAGAATCGCTCAGAACAAAGCAAATTTAAAGTGGAATTCTCACTACTTTAAAGGGCGGAGACCGCCGCGCGCTGCATGCCGGAACTTGTAGTTCCTTCCTGAGCGAGCCGCAGCGCGCCTGCGCTTATGCTGAGCGCTCTTCCGCGCGCACGCGTGCGGCGGCGGCGCCTGGTCTGATTGTAGTCGGGAGCGCGGCTGCGTAGTTAGCTTGAATTTCGGCATGGCAGTGCCCACTGCAGCTATGGGACCCTCGGCGCTAGGCCAGAGCGGGCCGGGCTCGATGGCACCCTGGTGCTCAGTGAGCAGCGGTCCCTCACGCTACGTGGTTGGAATGCAGGAGCTCTTCCGGGGCCACAGTAAGACGCGCGAGTTCCCGGCGCACAGTGCCAAGGTGCACTCGGTGGCCTGGAGCTGCGACGGTCGTCGCTTAGCTTCGGGATCCTTTGACAAGACGGCCAGTGTCTTCTTGCTGGAGAAAGACCGGTTGGTGAGCTGCTGGGGCCCGGCCCTGGCCAGGGAGAGGGGTGTGGTGTGGGAGAGGTGGGAATTGGGTGGATGGGACGGGAGAGATGAGGGAGGGTGTGTGGTGGGAGGGAAGAGGAGTTGGGGGCGAGGAGGAAGGGAGAACTGGCGCAGCGGGGCAAGATCGGGGCATGTGGGCAGTGTGTTAGTGCGATGTGGTGCTGAGGGGGGTGCAGTGAGGAGAGGGTGAGGATTGGTGAAGAGGATAGATGGGACGAGGGAGGCGGTGCTGGTGGAGAGGAATCCCGTGGTGATGAGTGACCGGGGGCCTTTGGGTTGGTGGAGACACTGTGTGGTGATAGGGTGACCTTTGGGAATGGGCTGTGGCTAGGCAAGGTGGTAGAGTAAGGATAGAGAACCTCAAAGGAGGCCAGGATGGGCAAAAAGGAGCACCTATTGTGGAAGCTCAGAAAAGTTTAGAGTAATTGTAGGGGGAAAGCAGGATATTGAGGGTTTTGGATTTTTTCTTGGAAGAACTGGATTCTTTTTGAGTTATCCGGTTCTTTGTTAGACCCACGATACCTAGCTTTGTATAAAGGTAAGTTGCCTGTGGAGGCAGATACATCTGTGTGCAGTCACGTCTGGATTCTGTTCTTTCAGGTCAAAGAAAACAATTATCGGGGACATGGGGATAGTGTGGACCAGCTTTGTTGGCATCCAAGTAATCCTGATCTCTTCGTCACGGCATCGGGAGATAAAACCATTCGCATCTGGGATGTGAGGACTACAAAATGTATTGCCACTGTGAATACTAAAGGTAACTATTTAGAGAGAAGGCATTAGGAAGATAAGCTACTTGTATTCATTCAACAACCTTTCACTGAATATGTTCTTTGTACGTGACACTGAACACTGAATATGTTCTGTGGGACATGTTTGCTAGCTGAATATGATAGTCTCCACCTCCAACAACCTTATGATTTAATGTGGGGAGAGACATAGGCCTAAAAATAGCAATGCGACATGGTTCATTTTATAATAGAGATGTTTATGAGTGGGTACCCAGAATGGTAATGTGTATGTATACCCTGAGGGAGGCAAAGAAGGCTTTGTAAAAATTGAGCACTCTTCTTGAGTAGCCATAATGTAGTGGTCAGGATGTGGGCGGTGTAGAGAATTTGGAATGTTATGATAGATTAAGGTGACAATAGTTTGAATGGCCTTGGTGATCTGGAAGAAAATGACCAGAAAGTTTGTAGTACATATATAGACTGTTCATATCAGGTATTATCCTATTCATCTCAGGTATTATGCCATTTGTTGTAATTGATTCATTTGTCATTTAATGTTGGATGCACTAATTATATTTTGTGGTAAGGTGCGAGATAACCACATAAAGTTTTGAGATATAACCAGGTAAAATTTTAAGATGCAGCATAGACAAAATGTAAAAAAAAAGGAACAATACACATTGTTGTATTAGTGGGGAAAAAGTAAACATTTTTGGATTGATAAAATTGAAATTTTAAATTTGTATGTTCAGTTTGGACTTCTGGACTTTGTTGATAAGTCTCAAATGTGGAGGTGGGATGGTGTAGTGCTTTCCCTAGGTATACAACTGGTGAGGCATGAGTGATTTTAGGTTGGATGGATGAATATGAAAACCCATTAATTATGTTAATTCCAAGTAGAAGAAAAGAACTAGCTCATAGAATTTGTTTCTCATTTGAAGCTAAATTTAAGTAAATTTTTGGTGTCAATTTTAAGAAAAATTTTGAATAAACTATAACTTACTATTACACAGCAAAAATTAGGAATGTGGGATGTGAATGCAATTTAAGAAATACTGTAGGAGAGAATGAGGGGCTTTGGGCTCAATTCTGGTATGTCTTGGCTATGTAACTTCATAACTTTGACTGCTTGGCCTACCTTGTCATTCATTTCTTCATCTGTGGCTATAAAGTCCTTAGAAAAGTGTTGTAAAGACCAAATGGGAAGTTTTTACATGAATGTGCTAGACTCAAGAGTTTATAGGTGGTAGTTCTCTTGCATTGACGAGAGCTTTGAAGTTAGCTCTGGTCTTTTCGGATAACAGAATAAACTTCTGGAGGGTTATGGGGAAACAGATGATTTTGATGATTATATCTGGTTTTCCAGGGGAGAACATTAATATTTGCTGGAGTCCTGATGGGCAGACCATTGCTGTAGGCAACAAGGATGATGTGGTGACCTTTATTGATGCCAAGACACATCGTTCCAAAGCGGAGGAACAATTCAAATTTGAGGTCAATGAAATTTCCTGGAACAATGACAACAATATGTTCTTCTTGACAAATGGCAATGGTTGTATCAACATTCTCAGGTGAGAGGGTTTGAGCTTGGGAGACTCTCATGTCTTTGTTCTGGGTGCCATAGGAGATGGAGAGTTGAGTTAGATATGAGACTCTGCAGAAGGACTCACAAGGTAAATGGTAATAAAAATACCTAACTTCTATTAGGCACATTTGAACCAGTTACCTTATTATTTTATTGTGTTCTCAGAAATTTCAGGGAGTTGATTGTATGCTTCCTGTCTGATGGAAGATCTGAATTCAGAGAGGTTAAGTCACTAGCTGGTGGGTACTAGAACTACATGCACTTTGAATTGTGGCTACTACTTTTAGAGTTTCCTCTAAATACTGTATCCCTTTTCCACTAGTGAAGTCATCTCCATCATTCCCACTCCTCAAGGTTAGAGGCTTATTTTATGTACTCTTGGAGGGAGCATTTCTTACTCTATACTGTAATTGTGTGCTTACTTACCTCTCTCCCCCAGTGCACTGTAAGTTTCTTGATGTCAGAGGTTGTGTTGCCATGTTTACTACTGAATCCCTAATGCTTAGCTTATTATCTATTATTATAGTAGAACCTGCATAAATACTTGTTTTCTAAATTAATGAAATTGTGGAATTGAAATTCAGGTCTGTTCAGTTCTGTTCTTGTTAGTATCCAGTGACTAGTGGAAGGTAGAGTGAGAGAGGTTCTGTGGTAGAAAGGCACAAAAGTTTGCTATGGAATCCCAAAAACGACCGTGTTGTAATGACTGTGGAGGTTGAAAGAGGCGCCTTCTGAGCTTGATCTTGAACGGTGAATAGAATTTAAGAATCAGCAAATGGGAGGTACCCAGCTGGTATGAATCAGCATGACATGTTTGGAGCGTAGCTAGGTCAAGGTTGTTGAGGTATGGTAACAGATCAAATATGAAGACAGGGCATAATAAAAGGAATATAAAGTTGAATTTGTGACTAGAGAATAAAAAGTCTTAAATTTTGTACCTGCTAACATGGGTGTTATTTTGTAGGCAGTAGGGATTCTACAGCTTAAAAAAAAATTGTAAAAACTACATAGAATACAGATTTTAAAATTGCATTTAATAAATGCAGAGCTTAATGAGTTTTATATGCTTGATTTCATCCAAATCAAGATACAGTATTTTCTAGTCACGTCTGAAGTCCATTTATATGTTTTGTGCTAATCACAACTCTCTCCATCAAAAGTAAACACTACCTTGACTTTTATAGTGTTTCTGTATAGTTTTATTTACTAAGAGAACATCTTTAGATGCTCTAATTTGGTTCCTTAAAAACAGTGAGAGGTTCTTTGAGTCTTGTACACTACAGTGTCCTGCTCAGTTGCATTCTTTCCCCTTGTAATTTAGATACGGAAACCAAGACCAAGACTGTTAACCAGTGGAGAATCTCCCAGTCTAGAGTTCTGATTCCAGGGGCTTATTTGTTGGAATACTTTTATCAAGTGATACATTCTGTCATCTACTATTTGGTTACCCATTAATATAGTTCATTTAGGAAAGGTAGGATAAGTTCTTAAATTTTTTTGTTTGTTGTTGGATAGTGAATTAGTTTCCTATCACTTCCAAAGATGACCAGTTAGGTTTTTTCTTTTTTAAAACATTATTAATTTTTTTAAACATAGTTGAATATGCTTTAGTGTATTGTAATAATTACCGCTATTGAAGCTCAGATCATCCCATCTTTGGCCAATCAGAGCGTCTTCGAGTTGGTTTTTAAATCCTTTTTTGACATACTCCCAGTAATCTTCTATTTCTTGATCACTGGTAGGATAAGATTTTCCAGGTTCGTCTTATGTCGTTCCTGCCCCATTCCCTACCCAGAAAATCCTCTGAGCAGCCCTTGATTGTTTTATAGGGAATTTAATATTGAAGCTAGGGAAAATAATATTGAAGCTAGTGATGTCCATTCTGCTGGGTTGATCGTGACTTCTAGGCATTTCTGTGTGTGTGTATGTGTGTGTATTTTTTAAAAAGTACATATTTGAAGATGAAATAACTTGTGAATTCATGATGATAACTTCTAATTAAAACTCATAAATACAAGTTTTTACTAAACCTGTTCTGTATTGTAAATATCTTTCTTTCCAAACTTAGTATTTTGGTTCTCAAGAATACAGGGAATTAGGCAACTAGTATATCCTATTGTTACTTTTTGTTTTTATCCCATTTTACACATATAAATGTCTTAATGACAAAACTGTAGTAGTCACAGTATGATTACTTTAAATAGCAAAGAATTGTGCTTTTTCTCTATACTTTCTCTATTTTTCCCTCATTTAAAAATATACTATTGCATATTGTTAGAGTATACAATTATATGTTACACCTTTTTAACCATATGTAGTTTCTTGAAGAACGTCTTATGCTTATAAGTCTCTGGTCATTTTGATTGTTAAAATTGTGAAATTAAGATTCCTTAGGAAGGGTTTATGGAAACATTATCTTGGAGGTTTACTTGTTTGTTTTTTTGAGACAGGATTTTGCTGTGTAGTCCAGGCCAGCCTTGAATTCACTTCAGTCCAGGCTAGCCTCAAATTTGTGATGCTCCTGCCTCAGCCTCCAGAATACTGGAATTACAGGTGTGCATCACCATGCTTGGGAGTTCCCAGAGTTCTTTCAACTTATTTATGTACTTTTAAAACTTACACTTTCTTGTTTTTAGTGGTATTCTTTATATTTGATAGTTTTGCTGGATATAAAAATCTTTGACTTGTATTTTCTTGCTTATGTTATCTTAAATATGCCATTCCATTTTCTTTGACAATGTCTTGCTGTCAAAAAGTCTGCTGATAATCTAATTTTCTTTTTCTTTAAAATCTAGCAATTTCACTATTTTGTGTCTTCATGTTGGATGGTTGGTCTCAGTTCTTATTCTCATATATGTGTTAGGCTCTTTCCATATATAACTTGATGTCTTTTTTTTTTTTTCAGGAAAGTTCCTTGAATTATGGTTTTTGCATTATTATCTTGGTGTTTTTTTCCCCAGTGTTTCCTATTCTTTTCTTAGCACCACTGTTCTTTTCTGCAGATTAATTGCTATCTGTCTTGCTTCTCAGCTACCCAGAACTGAAGCCCGTGCAGTCCATCAATGCTCATCCTTCTAACTGCATCTGTATCAAGTTTGACCCCATGGGGAAGTACTTTGCTACCGGAAGTGCAGATGCTTTGGTCAGTCTCTGGGATGTGGATGAGTTAGTGTGTGTGCGGTGCTTTTCCAGGTAAGCAGCAGTGTCAGCACTTTCCTTGTTGGGTAAATTAATTTTATTTTATCCTGGGTAAAATTGTACCCTCCTCTTTTTGGGTAATTCTAATATCTTTGTCCATCCCCTATGATAGGCTGGATTGGCCTGTGAGGACCCTCAGTTTTAGCCATGATGGGAAAATGCTGGCATCCGCTTCCGAGGATCATTTTATTGATATAGCTGAAGTAGAGACAGGTAACTTAATAAGAATTCCTTCTGTCTTTCCTCACTGGACGCAGGCCTTCTCTTGTCATGTATTTTCCAACTGCGCATTATTATGTCACCAACATTTTAAGAAATTATCTCCTTAAGATGTGTTTATCTCTGTTAGAATTGTCATTGCCAGGTAATGAGGGAGCAAAGGTTTAGAAAAGAGAGTGGCAAGTCTGAAAAAAATTGATTTAGGAAAATATTTTGTATTTTATTAACTTTTAATTCTTTCATTGTAAAGATTTTAAGTGTTGAGAAGTGGAAAAAAGCATCAGCCTTCTAAATACATCTTTTTTGACATTGTGGTATGTTTCTATCTTTTTCTTATATACAAATTTGAGAAGCTTTATAAAAAAAATTGAGGAAATATCAAAGCTTTTGCTTTAAAAACAAAACAGAAGCTATGTGTGGTTTGGAGGAGGGAGTTAGGTGGAGAAAGGAATATTGTACGAATTTGAGGGCAGCCTGGATTACATAGTGAAACAGTTTTAGGAAACCAAACCAAAACAGACAAGAAACACTCAACAAAATTTGAAAATAGAAAAATGGCAAGAATATTCATTGTATAAGACAATTTCCTTACATTTATATTTTTGTGTAAGTTTATTGTTTTTGTTTTGTGGTATTCTTTAGTGAAAGAATACACACTATGTAGAACACTTCCAACAACAAAGCAAAGAACTTAAATTTGGCTATTTAAGGAATGCCTGTTAATATTGTGGTGAATTAAATGAATTAAATTATATTTTACTTAGATAAGTTTGATAATTAAGAGTCTTGCACAAAGATGGCATAGAGAGAACATATGTGCCCACGGACTATTGTTAAATACAAATATTTAAATAACCTTCCCACAAGGTGCTTTTGTTGATAAACTGCAAAATATAAATGGCTTGAACATAGCAGTGCCACTTCAATGGTGTACTCAAAAGAATGATGACATGTATAAAATGAAGTACTTAATAGATACCTGCCAGGGCTGGGGGTTTAGCTCAGCAGCACGGCACCTGCCTGACAAGTGTAAGGTCGTGAGTTCGATTCCTAGTACCAGAAGAAAAACAAACAAACAAACAAACAAAAAAATAGATACTTGCCATAGCACTAAGATAGTGCAACAATTAATTCACACACAGCCTTTCAGGAATATATCTAATTATATTCTGAATAGTTTAGCAAATTCTTAAAAATACGTATTTTCTATCTGACCTAGGTTAAAAATTAAAGGCAAAATGATCTTCACAGTAAAACACAATGCATTTTTTACAGAATTATTTTGTACATAAATAGGGATGCCTAAATTTCCCTTAGGAGGGGAATAATTAAGTTGATAGACCGATGTTGGCGGGAGTTAAGGGAAAGGACCAGCTTTGTATGTACTGCGGTGGCAGGTATGCAAGTCATAATGATGCAGGACAAAAGTAGCCAGTCAGTGTACAAGGCGTGTGCCTCTTTAGGTAAAGAAACTCAAACTTACTTGGTAGCAAAGCTTTTGAAATACTTTATTTTAGATGTACAAAATTGTGAGAAGGCCGTGAGAGAGGGAAAAGGGATTGATTTTAACTTGAATTATTTATTCAACTATTGTTATTATTTAAATTGAAATTAAAATTTCAGTGCCCCAGTCACCCTAGTCCTGTTTCAAGGACTCACTAGCCACATGTGGTTCGGGGCTACTGTCCTGAGTAGGATTTTGCCATTGCATGGCTCTGTTGTACAGTGCTGCTCTATGTGCTTGTGCTATTTGAATTATATGAAATAATATATCTTCATATACTGGGTTGTAAATTTAGAATAATATGTGTTTATGTAATATATTTACATTTGGGAAATGCTGCAAATATAAAGAAGAAATTGTCCCCTATAGGTTCATAATTTAAAGATAACCATTACTAACATTTTAAAATATTTCTTTACAATCTGTTTTTCCCCATCGTATATTTTTAATGTTATTAGAGTGAATAACTGTAGTAGATACAATTTTATATGCTAGATATTTTAATAGTTAAATTTAAGACAAGGTAAGAATTAACTTTAACTTTATTCCTGATAGTGTATAGAATAGAATCTCATTTTAATATAGTTCAGTTAGGTGAGCTTTTCAGACAGCATGCACATTGCATCAATCTATTTCACTTTTGATGGTCTAGAATGATAATGTCAGTCTCATAGCACTGTATGTACCATTCTAATAAATTTTCTAATAAATTATCAAGATGTTAAGCTTATAAAGCTATATATTTATTTGGGAATATTTTAGGAGGCCTCTTCATGTCTACTTTGGTTTTCTTTTTTTGTCTTTTTGAGGCAGGGTTTCACTATGCAGTTCAGGCTGGCCTCGAACTTGCAGCAACCCTCCTGCCTCAGCCTCCCAAGTGCTAGGATTACAAGTGTGCACCATCATGCCTGGCCCTTACTTTGGTTTTCTTGAATTGTGTACTTTTTTTTATGTTAACAAATCCCATAACAGATTTTTGAAAATCTTGTTGATTCCATGGAGCTGAGCGCGTGGCGTGAGCCTCACACCAGACAGCTTCCTGCGCACCTCCTGTATCCTGCTCAAGCTCTCTTGAGCCAGGCCATTGGCAGCCAGAACCCATGGTCCCCCACATGTCGTCCTCGGCCCCCATCGCGGAGGTTAAAGGGAGCCCCAGCCCAGCCTGCATCCGAGAAGGAGTCCAAAATGCCCGACTGGCGAGAGGAGAGTGAGGAGGAGGACAATGACGACGAGGATGAGGAGGAAGAAAAAGAAAAGAGTCTCACCGTGGAAGGCAAGAGGGAAAAGAAGAAAGTAGAGAGGTTGACGATGCAAGTGTCTTCCTTACAAAGAGAACCATTTACTATTGCACAAGGAAAAGGGCAGAAACTTGGTGAAATTGAAAGGATACATTTCTTTCTAAGTAAGAAAAAAACAGATGAACTAAGAAATTTACACGAAGTGCTTTGGAACAGACCGGGCACAGTGTCCTCATTAAAGAAGAATGTGGGTCAGTTCAGTGGCTTTCCATTTGAAAAAGGGAGTACACAATGTAAAAAGAAGGAAGAAATGTTGAAAAAGTTTAGAAATGCCATGTTAAAGAGTCCAGTTCTTGATTTGGAGAGATCTGGTGTAAATAGTGAACTGGTGAAGAGGATCTTGAATTTTTAATGCATCTAAAACCATCAGACAAACCATTGCCACAATCTAAAAAAGCTTCTAGTAGAGGCAGTGAAAAGGAACGGAACAGTTCTGGAATGGCAAGGAAGGCAAAACAAACCAATGTCTTGAAATTCTGTCAAATGAATCTAGTAGTGATGAAGAGAAAAACACAGAAGAGTCTTCAGATGAAGATAAACTGAAGAGGAGCAGCCACCAAAAGGACATCTAAAAAGGAGAAAACTAAACAGCTGCTTGTAAAAGTAAAAAGTCTTAAAGTGCTGATGTTAAGAAGGCAGATAGTAGCACCACAAAGAAGAATCAGAACAGTTCCAAAAAAGAAAGTGAATCTGAGGATAGTTTACATGATGAACCTTTAATTAAAAAACTGAAGAAACCACCTACAGATGAAGAGTTAAAGGAAACAGTACAGAAATTACTGGCCAATGCTAATTTGGAGGAAGTCACAATGAAGCAGATTTGCAAAGAGATGTATGAAAATTATCCTGCTTATGGTTTAAGTGAGAGAAAAGATTTCATAAAAACAACTGTAAAAGAGCTGATTTCTTGAGAAACAAGACAAAGGACTTGTTCCTGTAGGTTGGAAGATTTGATGTATACATTATACCAGCAAAGAGAATGTATTTCCTTTTCTAAATCCCTGTCTTGGTAGAACTTACTGCTGACCTTTTTATCTTGGATGTTAATGTAAATTTGAGTTTGTTGTTTTAAACTGCATTTCTATGCTGTTTGTAGTTTAAAATGCATGGCATTGTTACTTGCTTTTATAGCTGTATTTTGTACATTTTGAATTTCTTCATATAAGGCTATAGATTCCTCAATTATGGGTTTTAATGTACTTAATATTAGCTTGTTAAGACATTCTTTTAATCAAGTAGGACAAAAAATATAAGTGGCGTTTATACATGCAGAAACTATTGCAGTATTTAGTACGTGAAATACTTTGAATATATATCTCGTCTGTCTGTGAATTCAGCGGCACTGTGTTCATCATACTAAATTACACAAGCTGTCTGGATAAAGTCGGAACTTCTTCTGCATGTGTATATATGCCAGGTTGTCAGCATGACAGAAGTGACAGATGTTATTTTTTATTTTTTTATTATTTTGTTTTTTTTCCGGTACCAGGAATTGAACTCATGACCTTGTGCTTGCCAGGCAGGCGCTGTGCTGCTGAGCTAAATCCCCAGCCTCTATTTTTGTATTTTTTAAAAACAATTTGTTGTATACATAGTTTTTAAATTTCTTTTGTGCAGATCAAGTTTTAAACTCATGTAGGTAGGAACTTCACACTTGTAAACTATGAAGTGTCTGTGTTAGCCAGACAGCGTGATGGAGCGGTCGGAGTCAGAATTCAGTGATACTGCGGGAACTGTCTAGTTCTGCTTTGCCTTCAAAGTGTCATCAATTACAGTTTTAGTGTTAACTACAAAAGCATAGATAATGTTTCATATTAAGGATAGACCAGAATTAACATGTCAAAGCTTCAAAAACTTTGGGAAAGAGTTAAGATTAAGTACATTTGGCCTGTGTTAAGTGACATTTTTATTAACTGCTTGTGACCATATAAAATGCTGATATTTACTGGAAACCTGGCGACCTTCATAAGTACAGTAAAAGTACTACATATAATGCCAGAAGAGAGTGTGTAGGCTGTTGCAGAATCTCTGACAAAGTATTTCTCAAAAGTGGTAATATACTGTACGTATTTTTTGCATTTAAGAGATTTAAGGTGTATGTTGGGTTTTACATTTTGGCCAATCAGAATTCCACATGATCAATATATGGACCTCTCCTGAATTTAAAAGACTGAACTGTGTCTTTTAAGTTGACTGTCTTAATTAGTTTACTAAATAACCTTTTTCTGAATTTTTAAATGAAACATGCTGCTTGTGACAAAATTAGGTATTTAAAGTACCAATTGAATATTTTAAAATCTTTGCCTCATAGAACAACTATGTAAGAATGATATATGTTGAATGTTAAAAGGTACTTTCACAGATTTGACTTTTTCCTTGACAAAGTTAGAACATTAGGGAAAGGTACACTGAATAGAAATGAATGGGAGAAGGAGGTGAGACCTAAACTTTAGCCTTTGATTTTAAATATTTAATTTGTTCCTGTAAACCTTGTCAATAAAAAAAAAAAAAAAAATCGTTGGTGTTTTAAAAAAAAACAAAAACAAACAAACCCCATAACAAATGATGTGGAATTAAAGGCCTAAAGAGAAATGAAGGAGGTATAGCAGTTTCAGAAATCATTCTTTTGTCCACATAACTCAGAAATTTGTTCAGACAAAGAGCTGTAGATAGCCAGACTCTTATCTTGGAGAGTGACTGGTTAGGAAAAATACGTACTGTCTCTGAAATCAGTTACTTTAAAAAATGTACTCACACACGTATTTTCTTAATAGCTTTGAGACAGAATTCACACCTTTTTGACCACACTGCATTTGATTACATTGATCTTAACTCTAACATTGAACAAAGTTAAGCAGAACTAAAGGAATAACAGCATTGAAAAAGTCATACATAATTTCAACAAATCAGACAAAATTTTTTTTTTTTTTTGTTATGCTGGTTATTGAGACCTGAAGCATGATAGGCAAATGTTATACCACTGAGATACATGTATCTCCAGCCCAGAAAAAGAAAATTTTGGGAATAAAACCTATTTGAAAGGCATTGTGATTCACTATATCTGTTTCTTTGGAGACAGAGCAACTGTACTGTGTGTGTTTCCATGAAATGTGACATTGTTAGGTCACTGGTTTACTATTATCAAATAGGGTTTAAAATTATTACCTGTCTTACTGGGCTGTCACTGGTATACAGTAGAATGTAAGCCATATGATACTTAATAGTTCTTAGCAAAGGGTAGCTGCTGTTACTGTTTTTCTGGAGTATGAAGTGGGATTCAGATGAGAGGTGCTTAAGTTAACCTCCCTGCGTTCAGACCTGGCTTGTGACCTCTTTGTGTCCCTTTGTCTCTACCAAGTGAGGTAATGATTGTATGTATCTCATAGGATATTAAGTGGGTTACATGAGTTATTATTAACATTGATTGGTTTCTTTATATTGATTTCTATAGGAGACAAGCTATGGGAGGTGCAGTGTGAGTCCCCAACCTTCACCGTGGCATGGCACCCCAAAAGGCCTCTGCTGGCATTTGCCTGTGACGACAAAGATGGGAAATACGACAGCAGCCGGGAAGCTGGAACCGTGAAGCTGTTTGGGCTCCCTAATGATCCCTGAGTGGGAGGCCTGGCAGAGACCTTACTTGGTGTAGCTTCTCTGTTCTCTTGGACTTGGGCGCACCCTAAGTATTTGTAAATTGGTATAAAGACCTTTTATTAGGCTGCCCTTCCAGTTCCATTCCTATTTCTTGTGTTTCTGTTTTTCCTCCCCCAGCAGTTAGCAAGTATGCGTGCGGTAGGATGTGCAGTGGCGCTGGATAGCTTGTCCTTTGGGGACTCCCGTCCTCCGATGTAGATCTATGAGAGCTTTGTTGTGCTTGATGCTACTTCAGCCATTTTTAGTTTGTAGGAGGGTGGGATGGGAATGGGTTTTTGATAATTAAAAAACATAATTTTCAGAACTGAGTATTTAATGAAACTGACTTATTATGAGACTTACAAGATTTTTTAAATTGTGGATTATTAATATGTTTTTATGGGAGATACTGCAGTTTTATGTATTTTTTTGTTTTGTTTTAAATCTGAGAAAGTTTAAATGCAATCGTTTTGTTTAACATCCTAATAAAAGAACTCTAAAATGTAGGGTCAAAGCATGCAGTGCATAGTTACAGCAATCCTTAAAAGTCATCAGTTGTTTGTCTGTCTATCTATCTGTCTGTCTACCTACCTATTTATCTATCTATCTGTCTATCTGTCTATCTATCATCTATTGAGACAGGGTCTTGCTGTGTGGTCCAGGCTGGTCTTGAATTCAGAGTGACCCTTCTCCCTCAGCCTCCCAAGCTCTGGGATTACAGGTGTGAGCCACCAAACCAGGGTAAAAGTGGTGAGTTGTTTTGTGTGAGTGTATATATGCCTGGTCTCCTTCTATACAGATTTGTTGACAATAAATTATCACAAACACTGCGAAAAGTTACCAAATAGAAAATACACAAAATCAGGATAAGACAAATAGAAGTAGAATAGAATATTAACACTAGAATCCTACTTGAAAGATTTAACTAAAATTTTGGCTTTGAACTTCCTAGTGGCAAAATGAAGAAGGGATTAAGTCGGCTGAATTTTAGTATGAAAAAGAAAAAACACTTGCTCCTCATGGAAAGCACAGCTTTCTTAGTTCTGACCTCTAAAAAAATGGCTGATATAGGGGAACTGTTGTCTGTGAACAATATCTTGATTTTGATTGCATCTTAGTCTTTTTTTTGGCATTAAAAAAAGAAAAAATAGAAATATATCTCAGTAAGTTATGTTTGTAGACAATTTTGGAGAAAGTAAGTAAGTACAAAGAAAAATGCTTAAAGCCAAGAGATAACCATGATTAGCACTTTCTAACCATGATTAGAAAGTTTTCTGTTTTCTTTTCTGGTACCGGGAATCGAACTCACGACGTTGCGCTTGTCAGGCAGGCGCTGTGCCACTGAGCTAAATCCCCAGCCCCTAGAAAGTTTTCTGTGTATAAAATTTTTCTGTGTATAAAAACGTGTTTATTGTCATAAGATCCATGAAGGGTAGATAGATAACTCAATATGCCAAGGTCCCCAGCACCATTGGTGGGCAGTGTTACACTCAGTAAGTCTCAGTAGAAACTGAGTTAACGGTGTTCCCTGCCTGTGGTGCTGTAACGACCATGTTATATCAGCTGTTACCCAGGTTTTGCAGTAGCTTTTTTCACCATTTTCCTACCTTAGGAAGTGTAAGTAACTTGCTGTCGCACATCGTGTGGCCATATTCATATCTAGGTTTGCTTAGAGGCCCATATCCCTTCTATTTGCAGTGGGTTTCTGCAGGTATGGCCATTCCCACTTCATAGATGCAGAAACCTTGGCTCTAAGAAGTCACCCACTGGCTCGGTTGGTGAGTGATACGTTGAACTTGTTGTAAGGCTTGGTAGTGTTTCCTCTAGCCCTCCACACTGCTTCTGTCACCCACCTTCCCTGAGGTATGATCTTTACAGTTACATCCCAGCCTGTCGTCTCGTGGTATCAAGTTCAGTGTCACTCATGTCAGTGGGAATAAAGTGACAAATTTTTCTGGCTTTTGCAAAGATCTTCCATACATATGTTTGGTGCTGTGTTTATATACTGTAAGGGTTTGGTCTTGATCTTAATATTTGACTGGTTCCTTTTTCTTCTGTCCATGGGATTTTTCTTCTCTGAGTTTGGGTAAAGTAGTCCATACCATCTATCCCTTAAACAGGAGAGATTTGTTTTGCTTTTAACTAGTAGACATTTGTAGCAACAGGGCAATACCTGTGAGGAAAGAGCTTCAGCTTCTGCAGCCTTTTCATACCAGTAGGGTCTTGTGGATACCATCTCTGTGTCTTGGTTGTGAACTCCTGGAGACTTTAAGATCTGAAATTGGATCCATTCTGGGGAAATGACTACATGTGTCTCAGGTGTTGGAGCCCCACTCCTACTCCAGTGATTTGAGTTTTTAGTGAGTTGAGTGAGTTCTGCGGAACTGGAATGTGCCATTGGGGTTACATCTGGGCATCTGTTATTAGGTCAGTCTAGATACTGTGCAGCTGCTACTGTATGCACTAGTAGGCCAGAAAAGTGAGGTCAGCTAAGAGCTAGACTTTATTTAGAAGGGAAAGTCGGATTTGCTGTACCAGTGACCCATTGCTGTGTTGACTGGAACTACTAGTCAGGCCAAGAACTGGGAACTTTATAGTCACTTTTGCCAAGATCCTTCCAACTCTGTTGCATCAGATCTGGGCTAGGGTGAACTGTGCCAAATACTGAGCTTGTGTGAGGGACATGTGTGTCTAGCCAGTGGTTCCATCCTAACCTGTGTAGGGAGAAGGGTTAGCAGTGGGGGACCTGGTAGAACAGGAGGTTGGGGTGGCTGGAGCAGGAAGTCCTGGTGAGAGGCAGGTGAGTCTCAGTAACAGGTTAAACAATGCAGGCTAAGCTGTCCTCATGGGAGACTGAAGTGTAGGGTACCAAGAAGAAGCCGGAAGAGGGCAAACTTCAGGTCTCAGAGGGTGTGTGTGTATGTGTGAGGAGTTGGTTTGAATGTGATATGTGGATGGGCTTAGTTTAGGGTGGTAAGTATGTTCTTGAGCCCTTTTTCTTTGGCTTTTTGAGACAGGATCTTGCCATGCAATTCAGGCTGACCTTGAGCTCACTTCGTAGTCCAGGCTGGTCTTGAACTTGCAGTGATCCTCATGCCTCAACCTCCTGAGTGCTGGAAGCACCACCACAGCTGGCATTTGAATTTTTTTTTTTTGTGCTGGGAATCAAACTCAGGACTGTGTGCTTACCGGCAGGCACTTGTGTCGCTGAGCTGTATCCCTGGCTGAGCCCTTTCTTGTTTGAATGATGTATTCTGTTTCCTAAGGCTTGTAGTCAAAAAAGGAATTGTGAAGTGTCTACTCTTTGGAAGGGAGGAAAAAAGTCCACAGACAGAATTAAAAGGTAAGACCTGTCCTCAGTCAGAGAGTAGAGATTGCTCACACAGTGCACTGCAAAGTCAGGAATAACCTATATGTAGGTAAGATGTTGCCTTCCTTTCTTTCTCTGACACTGTAGTGCAGTGGAAATAACTGGTTTCCTATTTGGGCGGAACTGGATTTGAATCCTGGCTGTAGCAGTGATTGAATTGAACCTACTTTTTTCATCCATAAAGTGTGAGGCTATTAATCTCCTTGTCAGTGGGTTGTTGGAAGAATGAAACGAGAGGAAGTATTTGTAAAGTAGCATAGCACCTGGCACCTGGGTGAAGGTGATGCTTGATAAATCCGTTCTCTGAGGTGGAGCAGCTCCTAATGAGAATACAGTTGCTGGCTGCTGAGACCTGTCAGTCCATCAGCTTGCTCGGCTCCCCAGACCATGTTAGTCATCCGTAGTGGGTGCTGTGGAGGACGAGACTTATCCATCACACCTGGGCATGGTGGGAGGGGCAGAGGAGAAAAATTACATCTGCTCTCTGTTTGAAGTCTATGGGCTTGTGATGGATGTGTATGTGTATGTGAACAAGTAGACTATATCAGGGCTGCACACCAATGAGTGAAGAAGGAGGAGGCTGCTAGGAAAAGAGGTAGGTTCAGTGCAAATCTTGAATATAGGGTGTGTGAATGTAGGGCAGAGGACATGTGCAAAGGGGCTTTGTAACTTTGCGCAAAGCTGAGATGCCAATGCCTAAGATGTGGAGAAGTGTCACTTTGGCTGGTAGTGTGGCCATGTGATGAGGAAGAGATAGATAGACCTGGGTTCAAAACTCCATTTTCAGTAATTTGGCTAAGTTATGATATTGCTTATTTTTATTTAAGAAGAATTTTTTTATTGTTGTGCTGGGGATTGGACCTAGGGTCTCACACATGCTAGACAGGTACTCTGCCACTGAATTACACCCCTCCCCAAGTTCTGTTTATCTTAAAATGTGCATAATAATAATGTGACTTATGATTAAATTAGTCATGTTGACATGTTAAATGCCTGGCACATTATTAACATTCAGTAAATAGCTATTTTTGTCATGTAGGTATAGTGCCATATGTATGTTGTTTGGAAGGGGCTTTCAGTGTCCCTCTTTGTACAAAAGTAGGGGGTTATAAACAAAGGTTTCAGAAACAGTCTGAGATGGGATAGGATGTAAAGAAAATGAATAGTTTTGGTTTTTTGAGACAAGGTCTTGCTATGTAGTCCAGGCTGACACTGAACTCACTATATAGACCAGGCTGGCCTTGAACTTGTGGTGATCCTCCTGCCTCAGCCTCCTGAATGCTAGCATTACAGGCATGTGCCACTATGCCCCACAAGAAAATGAATATTTCACACCTATTATTTAGTACCTGTTATAGTTCAGATCTAAAGTGTCCCTCAGTAGTCTCAGGAATTCAGAGGCAGAGCTTTTGGAAGGTGTTGGATCTTGGTACTGTATTCACTGTGGATTAACCCATTGATGAGTTCATAGCTGAGTATGGCATTGGTAGAGCCTGGTTGGAAGAGATAGGTTGCTGTGAGCATAGCCTTGCCACCATCTCTCTTCTCTCTGCTTCTTTCCCTTCTCTCCCTTCACCAGCTGCAATGGGATGAGCAGCTGTCCTCTGCCATGTCCCCACACTGCCATTTCTGCTTGGAGCCAGCCAACTATGGACTGAATCTACTGAAGCTGTGAGCCTAGTAAACCTCTCTTTTAACTTGTAGGTGTCATGTATTTTGTCACAGGGATGGGGGAGTGACTAATACATTACCCATTTATAAAGCTGAAGTCCTTTTTCAACGTAGGGGTACTATATTAAAAACTTAGCCAATGATTACAAATTTACCGACAGTTTTTATGTTTGAAATAGTTACCAACATGGAGTCATGAATTGTTGAATTTTCTAATTTTGTTCCTCTTTTTCTTTTCTTCTGTCTTCCTCTCTATGCTGGGGCTCAAACCCAGGGCCTCATACCTCAAACCCAGATACCACCTACTATCACTGAGCTATAACTCCAAGCCCAAATTATTGAATTTTAAGACATCCAGCATCATAGTTTTTTATCATTTAAGAGAAGCAAGCTGTAGTATGAAAACATACACACCCACCCAGCAGTGTTACATTAAGTCTCCTGTGTACAACTTGGCCCAAGCTG